GGACGCGGCCCCGCCGCCCGCAGCCGTGAGTGCCCTGCGCGGGGCGGCGGCTCGCGGGGCGCCCGCGCCGCCCGCTCTAACGTGTCTCTTCTCTCCACAGGTTGGTACTAAGAAGTGCCTTTCCTGACGTCGCTGCTGCTTGGGACCGCTTCTAGAGCAGCCGCTGCTTTTGCCTTGCTTGCTGCCAGCTAGACTGCGACGACAGCGCTCCGCCGCTGCCAGCCCCGCGCCCGCCGGGAGGAGGGTCCGGCTGCTCGCCCGCCGCCGCTGCACTGTGCACTAAGGTGTGCCGCGAAGGTCAGAGCTCCGCTGCCCGAAAGCCAAGGAGAGGAGGAGAAAAAGCCCCAGCCTAAAGCCGGTGTCGGTCGTTGCTCTAAACTGCTGCATCTGTCTATGCCAAACTAATCGATCCCGGGCGCACCGCAGAGCCCGCTGCGAGCCCGCTGCCTGGAGCCACCTGCCAGCCGCCGGCCCCGCCAGCAGCTCGGGCCCTGCTGCCGGAGCCGCCACGTTCCCATGCTTGCGGCGGCCGCGCTCCGGACGGGATGCTGAGCTAGCCCCGCCGCGCTCCGCAGGCGCTCCCGGCTGGCGGCCCGCCGTGCCCGCCCCGCTAACGGTGCCGCGCTCTCAACTCTGGTGACACAGCTCTTCCTCGAGATTGCAGCCACCCAGTTTTACACGTACTTGTTTTAAAATAGGGAGCGGGGGGAAAAAAAGTGTTCCGGAGGTGGCACTTTCATAATTTCCAGTTTATCAGTTCGGCTACTCGTTTGCCCATTTTTATTGGAAATTTTAACTACCTGTAAAATCTAAAGATGGCTGTTAGCGTCACACCGATCCGGGACACAAAATGGCTAACGCTGGAAGTGTGTAGGGAGTTCCAAAGGGGGACTTGCTCACGACCAGACACGGAATGTAAATTTGCACACCCGTCGAAAAGCTGCCAAGTTGAAAACGGACGCGTAATCGCCTGCTTTGACTCATTGAAAGTGAGTAAATATTACATTATTTTCAAGGATAAATGGTTAATGGAAGAAGCAGTTGTAGCCAGAGAAATCCTGCAGCTGAACAGGAGCAAGTGCTGGCTGCCAGCAGTGGGGTGTTTTGCTGCTTTTATTTTATTGATGCTTGTCGATTTCTGTTGCTGCTTTCCTCAGGGGAAGGAGAAGGATATAGGGAATGAAGGGAAAATACGTCTGGCAGGGCTCAGATCCTCCACTATGGCTACAGGGGCTCATTCTTCGCCTCCAAATTATTCCCTGCCTGTAGCTGGAATAAAGGGCACTTCACGTAGAAACAGCAAAGTCACTGTGAGGATTCTTTGTTTTTAATAGCACAAACCACGTAAGCAATATGAGGATTTGTTTCCATCTCGTACTACCAGCGGGTTGTTGGTGTCTCTGGACAGCTGATGGTGAACCTTAGAAGAGTGTTTTCCTCCCTGGGTTATTCGTGTGTCGGTGAGGACCCTGCTTGCCTTTCTGGGCACTGGTGTGGTTATCCCATCTTTTTCCCAAGTGCACTCGCTTAAGGGAAGCACAGCACTTAGCAGAAGGCAAGGTGCCTCTGGACGTGCAAGCATGGCAGGAGCAGAGAGGGTTTGCAGGAGGCACATCCCATCTAGGCACCATAAATATAGGACTGTTGTTTCACGGTAGCTGCCGTGTCAGTGATAGATGTTAAATGTGTGGGTCCCAGCTCCTTCCCTGGGTTTTTCATGGTTTAAGTAACCTAACGTGAAATACACATACCACAAACAGTGCAGAATTAATCCAGCCCATCTAGGCACCATAAATATAGGACTGTTGTTTCACGGTAGCTGCCGTGTCAGTGATAGATGTTAAATGTGTGGGTCCCAGCTCCTTCCCTGGGTTTTTCATGGTTTAAGTAAGTAACCTAACATGTGAAATACGCATACCACAAACAGTGTAGAATTAATCCAGTGGAGTCATGAAAACATCAAAACTTGGGAAGCAGCAATTTGTCTGTCAGTTTTTTCTCCAGTGGGATTTTCTGTTCCTGGGCCCCGGTCCCGAGAAGGGGAGCTGGCTGTGGCAGGGCCGTGCTGGGGAGGGAGCTGAGCTGGAGCAGCTCGTGCAGGTTGTGGCCCAGCCTGGTGCCCCACGAGCGGGGCAGCAAGTCCCTTACAGCAGCTCTCCGTGGATCTCTCGTGGATCCGAGCCTCACAGGGTGTCTTGTCTCCAGTCAGGGGACGGGGTAAAGCTCTACAGTGCTCCCAGGCCTGAAATGCTCCATCCCCCAGCCACGGCTTAACTTGCAGATCCTGTAAGGATTTGTTTCCCTGTTGTTCAATTTATTTTTAAATACAGCAATTACAGTGCATGCAGGGTATCAATATTAAAATGTGGGAATAAGATGTTTTTATGCATCAAGCACGTGCTGGAGGTAGGAGCAGAGCCAGGGCTGCCGGTGCCAGCGGGGAGTCCCAGCCCCGTGGTGCCACCACGAGGACACGGTGCCACCGCGTGTCACCGTGGGCATGGCGGTGCTGCCAGCGCCCAGGCCTGGCCCCGGAGCCTCTCAGCCGTCCCTGAGCAGGGGGCTGTGACTGCCACCGTGGGTTTGCTGGTGCAGCAGCACCCGCAGTGTCCCCGGGTTGGTTTCCCAGCAACGAGTGTCTGGCCACCGCGGCCTGACCCCGCTGGCCTAGCGCTTCTCATCGCAGGATCTGGCTGAAAGGCTGGAAACCAGCCAGAGTGACCCGGACATGATGTCAGTGGTCGCTGGAAGTGCCTTAAAATCTCAGTGCTGGACGGGCGTGCTGCTGGAGCTGGTGTCTGTAAGAGGGGATGGAGCACAGCCCGGCCTGCCTTCCCCAGCCCCGGCAGCGTGACTGGCCCTTCTGCTGCCGTCAGCAGGGCCCTTCGCTTCCTTTTTTAATGCAGGAGCCGAGGCTGACCTTTGCCAAGCACTGCAAGGTCCGTGGGTGATAACCGTGGGTAACGTTACAGCGTTGCTGCGGATCCTTGGAAAGGAGTGTGCTGCTGCCCTGTGGAGTCAGCGCAGGGCCGAGCTGGGAGCTGGGAAAGAATCTGCTGTTTAAAAATACACTGCTGACCAGAGCTGTTTACTTGTGCTCATGCTGAAAGGTTTGCCAGTGGCTGAGCTGCTGTGTGCTGGAGAGGCTCCCGGGATCCGGGGCAGCATCCCGCGGTGTCCCGGCGTGGGCCCGGCGCCTGTGGCTGCCGGTGCTCCCCAGCCCTGGGCAGCCTGGTCAGTTAGGTAGCTGTACCAGGCACCAGAACACCTTGGGGAAACAGGAAATGAACATCCCCCTTTGGGGAATTCCCAGTCCAATGCCCGTTGCTGAAGCCATTGCTCAGTTTTGGTTTTGTTTCAGCTCTGTGTCAGTTTCGGTGTGTGCCCAGCTCAACCAGCTCTAGTCATTGGGTTACCTTGCTGCAACATCCCAAACTTTAGATGTTCTGCAAAAGCAATTTAGGGAGATGCTGCACCAGCTCTGTCTGGACCTTATAAGGTCAGTCAATACTTTAGTACAGATTAAAAAAAGATTTTTGGTTAGGACATTCAAAAGTAATTTTTAATTTTTCAGTAATTCAATATGGATGTAATGTCCTTGTTCTTTACTAAAATAGCAGCACGCTGAAACATTGACCTTAATGTTAAAATATTTGATTTCTTATTAACGTATATAATATTAGTATTAATTAGACAGCTATTCTTGCATTATCTCTTGAACATAAGACAGATACTTAGTCACTGAATTTTTCTCTACAAACTCCTGCATCTTGGCAGCAGTGGAAATGAGGTGACCTTTAAGGTCCCTTCCAGCCCAGCCCGCCGTGTGATGCTGTGATGTGTCACTCCAAGACTTGGTGTGCCCTGGGAGTGAGTGCTGTGTGAGCTGACGTCAGGCAGGTGTGAGTGCTGCAGAGCTGCAGCCCCTGGGCAGGACGTCTCCGAGCTGGAGATGGCCTGTGTGCTGGGCTATATTTGGAACATGAACAGGAGAGCGGATCCTCGCGGGGAGGGGACCTGTGCAGTGGCAGTGCCCTTCGGCGCTGGCCCTGGCCCAGGTGTCCTCTGCGGGCGCAGGGACAGCGCAGCCGCCGCAGCCAGGCTCCCCTGCCCTGCCCGCCCTGCCAGGAGGAGGCAAAAATAGATGCCAGAAGTGAAACTTGCAGCTTGGGCAAAGCGCCTTTTTTTTTTTTTATTATTATTACTATTTCCCCCTCCTGTGAAATGAAGGCGCAAACTCTGTGCAGGGCTGGAGGCAGTGCTGCCTCCCGAGGCTCCCTCCTGTGCCGTGCGGGAGCAGTGGCACTGGGCTCTGGACACCGTGTCTGGCTGCAAACACGTCCTGTGGGTGCACCTGGCAGCTGCTCCTTACCTGGCCACAGGACCAGCAGCCGCTGGCCCGTGGTAATTGGGAGCGTGGGGAGCAAGAGGCAGCCAGGCCCGTGGCTGTGACCTCCGAGGAGCTGCAGGAGGTCAGGGCTGGGACAGCCCCAGCGAGATGTTATCATCCTGCTGCCTAATTAGCGCTAATGGAACCTGCGGGGCTGGCCTAGGGGAGCGCGTGAATCAAGATGAACGTGTGTGGGATAATCTGGCCCTTAGATATTAGGAGGATAATTTTAAACCAAGAATGATTATGTAGTGTATTCAAATTATGCGCTGGAGCGGCTGAGTCAGCTCCAGCTCTGGCTCTGCCTTGTTTAAATGCCGTAGGATTTTTTTCCTAAATTTGGATGCCTAAAAGCCTGTTAGACTGTCTACCGCAAAAATAAGCTCGAGTTCCTATATCAGGAAACTGGTTTGCAACAGAAATTTGATTTTTACCATAATTTTGAAACATTTTTTCTTCTTTCTTTTTCTTGGAAAAATAAGCCGAAGTAGAACCCGTTTTTGAAATTACGTTAGCTTCGTCAGATGTTCCGATAGATGAGTCATCCGCGTTTCCTGAAAGCTGAGATAAAGATGTCTGAACAATGGGGAGATGGATGTCAAATGCAAATCTTGTGGGAGCTGCAGATGCGCCGAGGCCAACGTCACTGTGGCCAGGCGGCCACTGCCAGCCCTGTGCTGGGGAACGTGCCACACAGCGGGAGGGGCAGGGCCATGGCGTGTCCCGGTGCTGTCCCGGTACTGTCCCAGTGCTGCCCCTGGTGCTGTCCTGGTACTGTCCCAGCACTGTCCCAGTGCTATCACAGCGCTGTCCCGGTGCTGTCCCGGTGCTGTCCCGGTGCTGTCCCAGCGCTATCCCAGTGCTGTCCCAGCGCTGTCCCAGTGCTGCCCCTGGTACTGTCCCAGCGCTGTCCCAGTGCTGTCCCGGTGCTGTCCTGGTACTGTCCTGGTACTCTCCCAGTACTATCACAGTGCTGTCCCAGCGCTATCCCAGTGCTGTCCCAGCGCTGTCCCAGTACTGTCCCAGTGCTGCCCCTGGTACTGTCCCGGTACTGTCCCAGTGCTGCCCCTGGTGCTGTCCCAGGGCTATCCCAGCGCTGTCCCGGTGCTGTCCCAGCGCTGTCCCAGGACTGTCCCAGTTCTATCCCAGTGCTGTCCCGGTGCTGTCCCAGGGCTTTGGTGGCTGTGGCGAACACAGGTCACAGCCCATGGCTTTGGAGGTAACGTGCACCATGATCACTGCCCTTCCAAGCTGGCTTTGGGCTTTTTTTAAGCTATGCTCCCACTAAGGCGGCTCCTTCATGTTCAAGCTGGGTGTCCCAATGAAGTGTAAAAGCTTTTTCTACTCTTTCTTCAACAGCTGGAAAGTCTTAAACTTCCACATTTCTCTGCTATTTTTTTTTTCTTTAATTCTAAGAAGAAGCTGGAAACCAGAAGTGTAAGTCACTGCAGTGATGATGTCTGAGGTTGAAGCTCTGGTGCCTAGTGTCTGAGACTCACCAGCAGTTGGTATGATAGTATTTTGTCTTCTGATGTAGAAGTGTTTATTTTTTTTAAATAGAACACATGAACTCTGTAAAAGTGACTGCCACTTTTTACC